CGTAGATTACGTACATAGGATTTGTCACTACTCTTTTTAAAAGAGATTAATGTCTTATGGGGCCCACTGATAAGTTATGATTGAGGAAATTGCATGGCCATGCTGAGATGTTTTTATGACGTCTGTTCCTATTAGTCAAACTTGATAAATTAGTGAATGACTTAATGGATACAAGCTGGATTTTATTAATCCCTTGCATTAAGTTTAGACATTGAGACAAAGGGATACAGTTACACGGAGTTTGAGTCGTGGAAAGGTTTTGACGGTGCAAACGTCTTAACTTATAATCTGGGGGCAATAATGTGTTGCTAGATACCGCTTATTGCTTATAGTATTGGTGTAGAGCCAATACTGTGGCCAGCTTTATAAGTGCCTATACGGGTCACACACTTTGGACAATTTAAGGAGTAGGATTAAACATTGGGATAGTAAGTAATTTGTATAGATTTCTCTAGATTTCTCTCTCTAGCAATGTCGAGGAGAAGAGGAAGACCTAGAAAGAAGACGACGCCGAGCAAGTCTCCGACGACCGGATCCACTCCCAATAGTGGGGGAGATGTGATCCCAACAGAAGAAGAATCTCCTACTCAACAGAAATCCCCGATCAATGATGAGATCTTGACAGAGGCAACACCAGATTTGAAAGAGGAAATCCCTCAACAAACATATGCAGAGGCAGTCACTGGGATAGCAGATAAGGACAAATTACAGTTCATCCCTGCTACTGAGGTAAATGGAATGCTGGTAGCTAAACTTACAAAGGAAGATGTTATTGAATCAAAAGATTACTGGAATTCCACATTAGTTTGCTATATATTGCTTATAGTATTGGTGTAGAGCCAATACTGTGGCCAGCTTTATAAGTGCCTATACAGGTCACACACTTTGGACAATTTAAGGAGTAGGATTAAACAATGGGATAGTAAGTAATTTGTATATTTGTAAAAATAGTAAAATAAAATATTTTGGAATATAATATATATATATATATATATATAAATATTCGGTTATATATATTATATATATGTGCCGATTAATATATATATATATATATTATATGTTGAATATTTATTTTGATTTGTCATTTTAATTATGAAAATAATTATTTTGACATAAACTATTTAAAGTATATTTGTATACTTGTTTAAAAATGATATTGGTATTTTTATTTGATTTAAAATTAATTTTATATTAATTTTTGGTGTCAAATAAAATACACTTTGAACATTTGAGTGGAGAAGAATTTTCAAAATCCTTCTCACAATCAAACTTTCGGCCATAAGGATTCAAAAGATTAAAATCAATCTTTGATTAATAGTTTATTAATTTTAACCTTTAGCTTAATGACAAATTTTGATTAATCACTTTGGAATTTTTTTTTCTTCTTTGCATTGATTGCACGGAACTTTAAAAAAAATGATATATGAGAAGATCATCATCTTTGAATATGTAAGTGTGGTTTTCGGCCATAATTTTCTAGTGAGAGAAAATTTCTTTTGTGTTCCATTAATATCATTTTGTGTATAGAAAATATCTATAATATTTTCTAAATATTATTAGAAATATTTTCTATAGAAATATACAAGATTATTATTATCCCAATTTTAATCTTTATATTTTATACTACTATAATCTTTACTAGCATAAAGATTGTGGTAGACTCTGGCGTTGTTCGTGTGTCAAAGTTGGAGACCGGACGCTTGAACGGTTACGTTTGCACTTTCAACGCT